TTAACACAGATTATTTTAGGTTTTCTTGAGTCGTTTCTCAAGTTTCTGTTTTGCGCCGCCATGCACTCATGAAAGATCAGAGGGCAAATTACAGAAGTCAGTGTTCTCCTACCTGGTGGTAGTTTCTAGGAACTAAACTCAGTCCCTCAGGTTTGGCAGAGAGTACTTTTTACCTGTTAAATAATGTCTAGCGCCCAGGTTGTTGTTCTCAAGGGTCGGAGCGGGCACTGAAATAAACCCTCAACATAGTGTCTCCGTTCTCTCAACTGAAACACCCAGTAATGAATTGCTGGCAGCACAAAGGTCTTTGCACTCACAGGACAGCACTAGGGAAACCAGAAATGTTAAACATGCAGGATTGTCTTTTCAAGGGAAAAGATCTATAAACCATTTTCTACCCGGAAGGCTGGAAACGGAGGTGGCTAAGTGTGGGCAACCCCTGCACTATTTGTAGGGCCGGGCCACACCTCGATCCCCTCAAGCTCCCAGAGCCAGGAAATAGTTAATAACCTAAGTGATCTCTGCTACCAAGACCACACCAGACCTCCCCTAGGTCCTTAAGATACTACATGGAGCCTATCTCTAGAACCCATCTTCTTGTAAGAAGTGATATGTACTTTCAATGTAACTGCGCCTCATTGTGCGTACAGGATTGTGTTACGCCAACAAACATCTTCTCAAGTTGTTCTGTACTTTATTATGCGTAAACTATGCCTGGTGCCAAACTCTAGATGTTTGAACCATTTACAGAGTCGTGTTGAACCCGATTTCCTCCCTGCCTCATGCAGATTTATTTTGTTGGCCACAGCGTTTGCAGGGACCCCCCCCCCCCGCAATGAATAACAGAAATGTATGTGGGCTTGTTTAACTTGAGGCTGAAGGAAGACTGCATGGATGTAGGGAAATAGCAATATGACCTGATAAAGTTCCCCTCATTCTTACAGAGTTTTATGTATGTTCTGACAAATCATGTAAGAACATTTCTTGTTGTGAAGATAGCTGGGAAGGATCATTTGAACAGAATAATCAAGTATTTTTGGCTTTGAAGTGAGTGACTGTTGTCATAAAGAAAGCCACCCACTCCCTGGTGGCCTGACACACGAGTAAGAGTAATGACTGTAAAGAATCCCTGTGTGCACTTCCTGCTGGGTGGGCCTGCAGCTACTGGTCCCACCTTGCAGAACAGGACAGAGTGCTCTGAGAACGTGCAGCGCAGGAGAGAGCCAGATTCAAACACTTGCTAGGCTTATGGCCCTAAGTAAACCATTATGGTCTGTCTTTTCTTATCTTTTCTGTAGTGTTCCCTTGAAATCGTAGGTTTTTCCTCTACTTTTCCTGAATCCAAATGCTTCCAGAGGTTAAGATTTTCTGGTTTGTTGTGTTGACTTTATTGCTAGGTTTTTTGTTGTTGTTTGTTGTTGTTGTTCATAGCGGTTACGTATACAGAAACCCAGGCTGATCGAACTTCTACATTATTGCACTTTGATGCTGAGCCGAGTGTGACAGACATTTTCAGTGTTTTCTTATTGTTTTTAGACAGCTATGGCTGGAGTTGTACTCAGTGGGAGAATTCTTGCCCAGCATTTGGGAAGCTCTGGGTTTAACCCCCATGGCTGAGGGTGACAAGCTAGACTGCCTTATGTGGTAGCCAGCCTCCAAGATGACCCCAGATACCTCCATCTTTCCTGTTATCAACTGGAACTGACCGATGTAACGAAGTGCAGTAGGAATAGAGGAGTGTTGTGGCGGGTAGTTTTGGCTACACCGCTTTGAGTTCCAGGAGAGTTGCGGGTGCGCACCCACCAAGGAGCTATCTTGGATCCGCAGATGAAAGACACACACACACTATCTCATTTTTAACCTGCCTTACTGGCTCAATGGCTGACCTCTTCTAAGCCTCCACGGCTAGTGTGACCTTACCTTTTCTCTTTGCTCAATACCCCTAAATCTGCCCTCAGCTCAGTTGCCCAGTTATCATCTGTGAAGCCCATTGGTCTTGCTCCCCAAGACCCTTTCGGGCTGCCTTTCCATGGACTATTTCCCTTTTCTGCCTACATTTTGGAAAAGCTTCTCTGTAGCTCTGACTCTGTTCTGTCTCTCTCCCCCAAGTATCTCGATCTTACTCCTCCTGCCCTCTCCTCTCTCCTAGCCTGCAGGAACCTGGAGGTCCAGTCTCTTTCTTTCCATCCAGCCATTGGCCACTGGCAGCTTTACTGATAGATCAAAAACCAACTGGGGCAAGGACCTTTGGAGTCAGTAAACACAGATTCCTGAATAAATCAAATCATCAGAACCACTCTTCTGCAGAGTGTAACTTCTGAGGCTAAGTTAGAGACGTCAGAGCCAACAAATCTCTAACAGCCAAGAAGCCGAATGGGAAGCCTCAAGTGATGAGACTGAGGCCTCAACAGTCTTGTGACTCGTTAAGGAATGGGATCCATCGAGCCCAGTCAGGCCCTGGATGACATACTGACTGAAATCTCATAGGGGATATACTGAGTCAAAGCCACTCAACCAAATGTTCACAAATTCTTTATCAACAGAAGGTATAAACAAACGCTTATTGTTTTAAGCCACCAAGCTTTGGAACAGTTAGTACTTGATTAGTTCTCTGTGCTTGGAAGATTAGATCTGTATCTATACCTCTCCTGATTTCATCTCTAGTTTCATGAAATGGATATTGCACCACTACAGAGCCTACTGGGCAGAACAGCCATGGTGGCAAGATGGCTTCGGAGATGGTTTTGTATTGGTTAAGATCTGGTTTCTGGGTTGGAGCAATGGGTCATGGTCAAGAGCACTTGTTGCTTTTACAGAAGACCTGAGTTCAATTCCTAGAGCCTACTTTGGGCAGCTCCTAACTGCCTGTAATTTCAGGTCCATGGGATCAGATACGTCTTTTAGCCTCTGAAGGCACATGTACTTCTGTGCAACTCAAACATTCAAATAGACACACACCACACACACACACACACACACACACACAGAGAGAGAGAGAGAGAGAGAGAGAGAGAGAGAGAGAGAGAGAGAGAGAAATCCAGCTTCTTTCTGACTGTGCAGGTGTATACCAGGACTCTATAGGCTGATTTTGGACAATCAGGTGCTTGAGGCCATCTTGGTCTACGCTGTAAGGCACTGTTTCAAAAAACAAACAAACGAATCAAAAAAAAAAAAAAACAACCCACAGGCAGCAGTAATGCAGTGTAGAGGTGTGATATTTGCCTAGAGTAACTAAAGATGTGGGAATGACTCCTAGCACTACAAAAATAAATGCATAAAAACATCACTTCTGCTGCTTTGCTTTGTGCTCCAGGGCTTGGTTGATTTGCTCTGGAGTGACCCGTATCTGGGGAAAAACAAAACAGCTGGTATCTAACCAAACATTAAGAGTCACAAAACCATGGCGCCATTTTAGTGAACATTTAATCTCTTGTGTAACAGGTTAGCCATCTGTAATAACTTTGTAACCTTATAGGCTTTGGCAAGTATTATGCAAATATACCGACAAAGCTTGAAGTGTCTCACACATAACACTGTTACTCCTAGGATTTGAAGGAAAGGTCACCAGTCTCTTAAGTCAGAACTTAACTCCTTCCTTTCCATTGCTCTGCATAGTCAGTCAAGTATCACACTGTGTTCTCTGTTTCCTAAGTGTGCTTTAAACCAGGCCCTTTTTCCTATTCTATTACCATTCTTTTCATTGAAGCTCTTGTTTCTTGCCTAGTACATTCTACGGCCTCTAGGCCAGGCCCACCCAACTGAGTCACTATATATTTGTCAGTATGTCCTTTAAAGACACAGGAGTCATCCTGTTACCACCTGGAAGAGAGAGGATTTTTTTTTTTTAAATGTAGGGGGCTGGTGAGATGGCTGGGGCTCGGGGGAGGCAGGTAATGGCACTTACAGCTAAACCTGATGACCCAAGTTGGATTCCCAGGACCTACATTGTGGGAGGAGAGAAATGACTCCCACAAGTTGTCCTCTGGGAGCCACATGCATTCAGTGGCACTTGCAATTTTGCAAATATAAATAAGTAGTAAGTGTAAAAAACAAAAAGTTGACATCCGGGTTCTACAATAGACTTAGAAATGAATTTCAGCTCAAAATTCCTGTTTCAGTGCCAAGAGCATCAGCTTAGACATGGGTAGTTTGTTGACTCAAAGGTAGATGGCAGGTTATCTTTACTAGGGCAGGTGCTTCTCAACCTGTGGCCCCATTTTCTGTTTCTGGAGATTCGGTAAGTACACAGACACCTGCATCTTTAGACATGTTAACGTTAACAACAAAAGTCAACTTAAAAATGATGAGGCTGGCGCACTTTAGTCCTAGACTTTGGGAGGCAGAGGCAGAGGCAGGCGGATCTCTGTGAGTTCAAGGCCAGCCTGGTCTACATAGCAAGTTCCCAAAAGGCCAAGACTACACAATGATACTTTCTCAAAACAAAACAAACAAAATTCTCTCTCTAGCACCCGAGATACAACCTAACTCATCCAAAAACCTAAAAATACGTGATTACTTAAGATGGGATTTGCAAGAGTTAGTGACTGAGAAAGAGCTGTAAAAAGGGAGACAGAAACTAGCTGTATCACCCCCCCCCCCCCCGAAGTCATGGTGTTCTTAGAAGTGCAAGTCCTCCAGCCACTTAAAAACTGGAGAGGAGGGAAAGCATTGCTAAATAACTCTCATGTAAAAAGAGAACTAATCACACTAAGATAATTTCCCCTGATCCTCAGGTGCCCTGGCAAGAACGGCATCTACAACTTAAAGAAAAACTACCCCGAGGGACAGGGACTCACCAAAGACATTCAAAACTACACAGCAGTTATTCTAACTTGGCATCTGATTCGTTTCGTTTATTAGCATGGTTCAAGAGGGCATTCTTGGAACCTCCCATATTCCAATGCCCCACAGGCAACAGACCAGCGTAGGGGACAAAGTCCTAGTCACGTGCGTCTAAAGGGGAAAGGTTCATAACAAGAGATTGTTTTCCATTCCGCACTGTTCGGCACTCCTGCTCCCAGTCGCTGGCTGGTGATTGCAGCAGCTGCGACAGGGAGAGAATGACCCTGCCGGAATCGCAGGGCACTCGAGGAGGTGCTCTGGCGAGGGCATCACGCTCCTCCCACAAGCAAACCTCCGGAAGCCTCCAGGCCGGCTCTTAGGCTCTCAAACTTTATCGTGCTTCCGGACACCACTCTACGATCCGGACACTTCAAAAAGGAGGAATCTGAAGGACGCCGGCCATGAGCAGCCCGAGCAGCTGGCGGCGGGCAGCCACCGTGATGTTGGCCGCGGGCTGGGCTCACTCGAGCCCCGCCGGCTTCCGGCTGCTGCTTCTCCAGCGAGCGCAAAACCAGCGCTTCATGCCCGGCGCGCACGTCTTCCCGGGCGGCGTGCTGGACGCGGCCGACCGCTCGCCCGACTGGGTGAGTCTGTTCGCGCCTCGGCACACGCCGCCCCGTTTCGGCCTAGGCCCGGAGCCGCCTCGGCAAGCCCCCTTCCCCGGGCTGTTCCACGACGACGCGGACCCTGCGGCGCTGCCTGATGACGTGGCGCTGCGCATCTGCGCCATCCGCGAGGCCTTCGAAGAGGCGGGGGTGCTGCTGCTGAGGCCGCGGGACTCGGCGCCGGCTTCTCAGGAGCCGGGTCTGGCGCTGTCGCCTCCGGCAGGCCTAGCGGACTGGCGCTCGCGCGTGCGCAGTGACCCGCGCTGCTTCCTCCAGCTGTGCGCGCATCTGGACTGCACGCCGGACATCTGGGCGCTGCACGACTGGGGCGGCTGGCTCACGCCCCACGGGCGAAGCAACCGCCGCTTCGACACCACCTTCCTCCTGTGCTGCCTGCGCGAGACCCCGCGCGTGGAGCCCGACCTGGCCGAGGTGGTGGGCTACAAGGTAGGGGTCGCGCGACCCGCCCCGCCTCGGGATGCGATGAGCCTTACCCCGGCCCAAAGGCGTGACCTTGCTCGAGGACTCAACTCTCACCCCACCGGGTTCCCTAAGCAGAGGCACGGCAGTGCTCCCAGCTGCCTGTTCTGGACACTTCACAATTCACTTCATGCCCTAGGTCGTTTTAATTCGGGTTTCTAGTCACATTATAGGATTTCGGTCTCATTGGCTTTCTTCTTCCTTCTTCATCTCAACCCGTTTCTCTGTTCTCATCTCCCTCATCTTCACTCCCTCTCTCCTTTCCCTTCCCATCTTTCTCCCTTTTTTAACCCCTTTCTCTCTGCGCGCGCGTGTGTGTCCGTCTGTCTCCCTCCTTCCCTCCTTCCCTCCCTCCCTTTCTTTTTTGTGTCACTTGCACCACGCACAGTTAGGCTTCAGGCTTAGAACCCGAGGTCTTGAGTGTGCCCCCCCGCTTCAAGTTCACCTTTATTTACGCAAAATGTTTTCAACTGTCCTTTATTTTTCTTTTGTAAAATAAACAAAATGGCGTAATTTTAAATTGTGCTCCCGTGTGAGAGTGTATGCACGTGAGTGCAGGTGCCCACTTATGCCAGAGTATATAATCTAATCACCTGAAGCGGAGTTAAGGGAGGTTGTGAGCCACCTTGAATGGGTGCTGGAGACTGAACTCAGGCCTTCTGCAGGATGGTTCCTCTCCAGATCTCTCTCCTCTCCCTGTTTCTTGTAACTGCAGTTACACATATGTTGGACTGCGTGGCCTACCATAGACATGGATGCCCTTGTTCACTCGTTAAACTTTTTCTTTCAGTATTCCAATTGAGTAAACTCAGTGGCTGTTTTTTTTGTTTTGTTTTGTTATATTTGGCTGTGTTTTTTTGAGACAGGGTTTCTCTGTGTAGCCCTGGCTGTCCTGGAAGTGACTCTGTAGACCATGCTGACCTTGAACTTAGAGTTCTGGCTGCTTCTGCCTCCTGAGTGCTATGATTAAAGGCATGTACCACCACACCCACTTCAACTGTTCAAGTTTGCACTTTTCTTACGAAATATCAACTGTAAATTGTATTTCTGGAAGCAATATAGCTGCCTGAAACTTCAGTTCTAGAAGATCTGATGCCCTCTTCTGATCCTCATCTGGTGCACAGATGTCTAAGCAGGCAAAACACATGAATAAAAAGTAACTACATATAAAACAATTTTTTTCCTTTTTATTTTATCATGTTGATATTTTCTTTACATCTTTGGGCCAATGGGACTGCTGTGAACAGGAGATAGAAAGAGTCATATGGGCTGATGAGATGGCTCGGCAGTTAAGAACACTGACTGCTCTTCCGAAAGTCTCCGAAAGTCATGAGTTCAAATCCCAGCAACCACATGGTGGCTCACAACCATCCGTAATGAGATCTGACGCCCTCTTATGGAGTGTCTGAAGACAGCTACAGTGTACTTACATATAATAAGTAAATAAAAACCTTTGGGCTAGAGTGAGCAGGGCTGGAGGGAGAGGGAGAAGGGAAAGGGAGAAAAAAAAAAAGAGTCAGGCAGTGTGGTAGTTTTGCCAGTTTGTCACAGCCTAGACGTCCTCCCAGGAACCTCTTGGTGCAGATGCTTACCGAGCTTCCGTGATGGAGGACGCAGACGTGCCTGCTTCTCTTGAGGTGCTCACAAGTGCCTTTTTCATCCATACTGTCTAAAACCTGGGTGTGCTTGCCCAGACATTCTCTATAGCCACTCCACTAATCCCCTCCACCAGGTGACCACTTAAAGCAAGACTGTCCCCCTTTATCCACCCCACCTCCCTCCTGCTAGTACCTGCTGAGCACTGTAGCTTTGCACTCTTAAACTGTAGTAAAAATTGCCCTTGAGCTTCTCTTTGATTCTGTTTTCAAATTTGTCTTTTAACAGACGGTTTTATTTTATGCATGTGCGTGTGTTTTAGGTACGGACCGCATCTCCCTGCGCTTGACATGCCCTGAAGTTTTGGAGTGCATGCTTAGCGTTGTTTTTAGGTCGTTGAATGCTGGGTTTTGTTCTAGTCTTTTAAATGGTGTTGCACTTTTCCCGGAAGGCAGTTAAGTTCTTCGAGATGGACTTTATCCTTTTGAGGTGTGTTTTAAATGGTTTGGGGATGGCTCTACAGTGGCTTTCATCCTGGAGCTCGTTAGCTGAAATCCTATTATGTGGCCCTTCTCTGGTCACAAAGTGGAAAAGCTCCTTACATTCAAATAAGGCTTTCCCTCTGTCAGGAATACACTCCTGGGGAAAACATCTTGGCTCCATGTAAGCTTGGAGAATTTAAAGGGCAACCTCCCAGGTGGTTGCTCATTCCCTCAGACGTCGTGCACAGGTGAGTTGTCAGTAGAGCTTTGGAGTTGAGTTCTCTGGACCTTCTCAGGCACATGCTCACACCAGGTACTACCCTGTGTGAGCCTTCCAAGTTCTGATAACATGTCTGCTCCAGTCTGTAAGACTCCTGGATGCTGCTTAGGTTCCCCCACTGCTGTCGGTCTGGGATTGACCTTAAGTAGACAGGTGGGCTCACTTCATTCTATTATGTATTTATTTACTTATAGTTAGGCATTTTTGGTGTCTGAAAATATTTTGTTAAGTTGTTGTGTCATGTGTGAGTTTAGCTCTTGTGACTGAAAGGATTTTTAAATCTTATTTACTAATTATTAATATTTTAATCGGCATTTTATTTATTATTTATTTATTATTTATTATTGTTATTTGTACTTATTATCTGGTTGTTATTATTTTTGTTCAACACGCATGCAGCTGACCATGGAGTCCAGAGAGAGCACTGGATCCCCTAGAACATGAGTTATGGATTGTTGTGAGCTGTTCTGTGTGAGTGCCGAGAACCCAACTCTGGTCCTATGGGAGAGTAGCAAGTGCTTTGAACCACTGAGGCAGCTCTCCAGCCTCCGATTCTTTCTTTCATTTTCTTATCTTGCCCAGGCAGGACTTCAGCTCCTGGACTCCAGCAATTTTCCTGCTTCCGGCTCCTGATTAAGCAGGACAATAGGGCCATGGCAGCGTCTGGGCCTCTGAATGTTCTTATGCTGTCTTGGAGAGAACTGGCAAGGCCTTTGGATAAGTTAATTTTTTTCACATCAGGTAGATCTTGTACCCCTCATCTAAGGACCACAGATCTGGCTGATGACTGAATAAATCTTACAAAGCTTGTTCCTTTGTCTCCTATAGTGGTTGTCCCCATCAGAGGCAACTGAATGTTTCCTATCAAAAGAAATCTGGCTGGCACCACCACAGTTCTATGAAGTGAGAAGACTTGAAGAATTTGCCTCTCTCTCTGCTCTGTATAGATTTTGTACGGATCACCCATTACAAGTAGCTGAGAAATGGCTGCCAATCATATTTTTAACTTCCGATGCCTCCATCCATCTTCTCCCAGGTGAGTGAGAGAAGCACCAGTGCTCCTGTTAGTACTCACATTAGGTACAGCCAGGCTTTCTGGCAGCGTAGCCCAGCAGAGTCAGGAGTTATAGTCTGTTTTATATAACCCCTGCCTGTGGGTGTGGCTAACCTCCGTTTATAGGCCACATGCACCCCCTGATAGCTGTGAATGCAGCCCAATACAAAATCTTAGGCTTCCTTAAAGTATTGAGGGCTATTTTTTCCTAACTTCTTTAAGTTTTTTGTTTGTTTATTGTTGTTCAGCTGTGTGGTTCTCAGACATAAACTTTAAAGTGTTTCAGTAAATCCCCAACCCCAATAAGCCCGTGCAAAGAACACACAGCTCAGTTACAATATTTATAAGCTGCACGCCTAGATTGGGCAGATCTGCCGCTGCACTGGTCTACTTACTCCCCAGCTATGAGATCCCTCGCTACTTGTGGCTTCTCCAGGCCACGTGGTTCTGCTCCATCCTCCTTTCACCTCTGCTTCCTGCATCTTCCTCTGTCTCCTCCGTCTCTCTCTTCTTGCCTCTCTCTCCCTTTCTGAGACCTCCAGCCCCGCCTTTCCCTTCCACTGCTCAGTCACAGGCTCTAGTCTTTAATCAAGAGGTTTGCCATGCCTCTGGTGGGATCGTAATTAAAAGAAAGCCCGTGTCACCCCACTGTGGTGGTGCACGCTTTTAATCCCAGTATTTGGGAGGCAGAGGCAGGCAGATCTCTGTGATTTGGAGGCCAGCCTGGTCTTCAGAAAGAGTTCCAGGACAATTAGGACTGTTATACAGTGAAACCCTGTCTCAAAAAACTGAGAGGGGAGGGGGGACAAGGTCAGAATCATAAAATATACATGTTTCTAGTTTGAGTCTGTTCCTATAACAAATACCATGACCATAGGCAACTTTGGGGAAGAAGGTTTATGTCATACTGTGGGTTATGGTTCATTATTGAGAAGCTGGGGCAGCAACTTGAAAGTAGGCTTCAAGCTTTACCACACACAGCATTGCTTCCAACCAAGGAGCACACTTCACAACCAGAGGCAAACATCAGGAACCATGGAGAATTCTACTTGCTAGCTGGCTCACAAAGAACTATGCTTAGCTAACTTTCTTATTCCGTTTGGGGCCCACTGACTAAGGAATGGTGCTGCCCACAGTGGGCTGGGTATATCAAATAACAATCAGGACAATACTTCCACAGGCCAATATGATCTCAGCAGTCCTTCAATTAAGACTGTTTCTCAGGTGACTATAGGCTGTATGGTTTTGTTTAAGTTATCTCTAGGACACATAATGTTTATTTTTATTTATTTTTGAGAAAATCTGTAATACAGATCTCAGGCTGGCATAGAACTTGCTGTTTATTCCAGCCTGACATCCTCCTGCCTTCATTGCCTCTGTGCTGGGATCACAAGTGTACCACTGCGCCCAGACCATAATGTTTATTATAACTAGAAATTCTGAATTTATGTATATATTTCCTAGGGATGGACAAGATTCTGTTATCATGCATTTTCTCACTTTTACATTTTCATTTCAAATCATGAGAACATGTAGACTGTCAGTTTCTCTGAATTAGGAAGTTTGTTGGTGGTCAGTTATAGTTTGGCAAATACTGATTAGTGTTGGGGCAAGCACTGTATGTCCTGTTGTCGTATTTCATATCTGCCTCTTTGGTTCCTGATAAAGCTAGTAAGATTTGTTATTCACCCTACAGGAGGCTAGTTTAGCAGGGTTTAGGATTTATTCTTATTTTATGTAAGAAAGTTTGCCTTCCCGTATGTATGTGCACCATCCATGTGCTTGATATCCACAGAAGCCAAAAGAGAGCATCGATTCCCTGGAACTGGAGTTACGGGTTGTAGTGTGGTGCCGTGTGGGTGCTGGGACCAGAACTCAGATCCTCTGGAAGAGCAGCCAGTGTTCTTAACCCCTGAACCATCTCTCCAACCCCTAGCAGTTTTAATACAAATGACAATTTATCTAAATTAACCTTGGTGATTGTGGTATGGCTCAGTTAGTAAGTACTTGCTGTATAAGCACATGTTGTGAATTCATATTACCAGTACCCATGTTAGAGGCCAGCCTGGGGGTCATTTTAATCCCAGCTAAGCAGGTAAAGACAGCAGATCGTTGGGGCTTGCTGGCCAGCGAGTCTCATTAAATGGATGAGCTCCAGGTTTGGCGAAAGTCTGTGCCTCAAAAAAATAAGGTGGAGAGTGACTGAGGAAGACGCCCCCCGCCCCCCAGTGTCAACTTCTGGCCTTCACGCCTGTGCACACACGCAAGTACATAAGGAAGAATTTAAGACTAAGCAAAAAATGGATTAACCGTAAGATTATCAGAACAAACTTGTATTGAAACATCAAAATCATTGTTATTAAGGCCAACATTAATGTTACTATTTAATAGACTAAAGAGAGTCGTGAGGTAGTTTAGAACTTACGGCGCTCTTGGCTGGGCATGCGACTTGCTGGAGTACTTGCCTCTACTTAATTCCCAGTGCTGCTGAACTGTGAGGAAACAGTTACAGCTTACGATGGAAACACTATAGTCGTCAGTCTTGATGTGCCCGAAGAGAATGCTTATCTCGGAGGTAGACATAAAGCAGGGATTTTAAAATCCAACACAGAGGACAAGAGAGCTGACTGAGTCAGTAAAATGTTGGCCTTGCAAGTGTGAAGGCCTGAGTTTGGGTCCCCTGAAGCGGTGCAGAGAGAAAGGCCTGGCGATAGGCATCTCTGATCTCAGCCTTGCAATGGCAGGATAGGAGGCAGACACAGGTAGATCCCTGGATGGTCATAGGCCAAGTAACCTGGCCTAAGTGGTAAAGTTCCAGGCCAGTAAGGAATCCTGAGACAAAAGGTGGGAAGTTCTGGAAGAATGCCAAGGTCATTCTCTGGCCCTCCTGCTTCCTTGCTTTTAGTTATGCTTGGTGGAGGGAGAGATCCAACCCTAGCAGGCTGGTCTTTGACCTCCACTTGCATGAATGTATACACCACATGCTCCTCCCACCCTCCCTCTCCCCCCGCCCCTGCCTCAATAAAAACCTGAAACAGAGCCAGCCTCAGTGGTTAAAGGTGTTGCTATTCTCTCAGTGGATCTGAGTTCGGTTCCCAGTACCCACCCCAGGCAGTGTCCATGCACACATACACATATACATGGATTCATAATAAAATAAAATTTAAAACTTAGCAACAAGAAAAACACCAACTAAGCTTCAACATGAAATATATCCAAAAAAACACTGCTTTATGTTGTTGATATGTTGGTGGGGCGGATATGAAACAATGCTCTGTGGAAATAAATTTTTAATATTTTTCAGGAGATGAGCTGTACATGAAGGACTCAGACTTCTTAGAAAAGAATATGTCTACTGACAAAAAGACTGAAGAAATCTTGAAGGAAGGCAAAGTACTTAACCGACTTGTGATCCACAGTCCACATGTCTACGAAATCTACATTACTCTTCCGTCAAAGAATAAGCACGTGTACCCTAAGAACTACATAGTGCCTAAGAGCCATACTTCCCACCTGTAAGCTGCACTACTTAGGTACTGTTAGCAAATAATGAGAATCAACCGAACCTGTCTAAAATCTAAGGAATGTGCCCATAAAAGTCACTATGCGGTGTTACCTGTGTCATGTGTGTTTTGGGAGCCTCTGCCATTTGTCACACTACACAGCAAGCCATATATACAATGTGCGAAGTATTAAAGCTCTTGTTACCAAGATAGATGTTATTAGTTGAACATTGGAAAGGGGTCTCCTGCTGTCTCCCAACTGTCCATATGTTAGAGGTTTCCTGGTGTGCTGTGGAGATTGAGCCCTGGATCTCTTACCCTTCGCAGGACTTAATTCAGAGATACCTAAAGAGTGCTAAGCTTCAGATGTGAGATTTCCCCCACTTGTTCCCTAGTTGGTAGCTCTGTTTTGGCAGGTTGTGAAAACCGAGGGGCAGGCTTTAGCTAGAAAAAGTGGGTCTTGGGGGATTTAGTCCCACCTCTGTACCTCTTTGTTTCCTCATCTGAGGAGATGTGAGCAGACTTTCCCTCAGGTTTCTGCCTCCATGAAGGTTGCATGTTTCTGTCAGGCATTTGATCATAGTAAGGAAAGTGTTAATGCAAATAAAGTGTTCATCCTTTAAGGGTGATGGGCGCGAGTGTGCGCGCATGCATACACACACACACACACACACGCACACACACAGAGGAGTGCATACCACCGAGCATGTGGAGGGCAGAGAATACTTTACAGGACACTTCTTTCCTGCTGCGTGTGGGTCCTGTAGATTAAGCTCAGGTCAGGAAGCCATAAAAAAAAAAAAAACCCGCTGGGTGGTGGTGGCTCACGCCTTTAATCCCAGCACTTGGGAGGCAGAGGCAGACGGATTTCTGAGTTTGAGGCCAGCCTGGTCTACAGAGTTCCAGGACAGCCAGGGCTACACAGAGAAACCCTGTCTCGAAAAACAAAAACAAAAAAAACCCAGGCTGGTGAGATGGCTCAGCAGGTAAAGGCACTCACTGCGAATGCCTGGCCACCCGAGTCTGATCCCTGGGACTCATGTAAAGGTGTAAAGGAGAGGGACCTGTAGTGGCCTGTTTGGGTCAGTCAACAGGGTCTCCAGCGCAGGAGTGAGGATGCACGCTTCCAATTCCCGCTGTGTCCTTCACTGTACCCCGCTTACTGGAGCCCTGACGTTGAGGCACCACTTTGTAGCCACCCGAGCTGCCTCACGTTCTTAACTGCCCGTTCTGCTGCTCCAATCTGTGGGTCAGGGTCTAGCAAGAGAGAGAGTGGGGACAGAGGGATGAGAGACACGAAGAAATGAGATGAGACAGAGTCCGGTCTATTCTTTCCTCAAGTCTCTCCCCTATTGACAGGAAATCATGGGTGTATATAAGCATAAGCAGGGGACCACAACTGAAGACACTTTACCACGTGCCCCTAGCAGCTGGGGGCAATAAACAACAAAACAAGATATAGGAGAAAAACATTTATCAGAGTGTGCTCAGCTGCTGTAGGCTGCTGAAAACAAGTATCCTGTCAGGGTATATGGCTCGAGATGGCTGTAAAGATGACAGCCGCTCATCGGCTCCCAACAAGGATCTACTTTACAAAGTTGTCCCTCCACAAGTGCCGAGGCCCTTGTGTCCTCACATACACACCTAATGCACACACAGACACCATCAAACTCATCAGCCTTTATATACTTAACGAAGTAGTTAATGAGGCTGGAGAGAGAATGTTAAAAGTCACAGGGGTTTAGTATGTTTAATGTGGGTGGCTAATGATCTTTATTGACTAAAGGTGAGGAATGATAGTTAAGGTACTGGGGGGTGTGTCTGTCAGTCTGTCTGCCTGCCTGCCTGCCTGCCTGCCTGCATGAGTTTATGCGCACCACTTGGAAGCCAGAAGTGAGCATTGGATGTCCTGGAGCTGGAGTTAGTAAGGCAGACAGCCAAACTCAAGTCCCCAGCAAGAACAGTAAGCACTCCAATGGCTAAGCCATCTCTCCAGCCCTATTTCTGTGTTAACTTAACCCCCAGTAGAGGGATAAAAGTGCTTCTTAGCTTGTTAGCACTTTTCCAGATATTTTGGCTATGTCTGGAAATATCAGTTGTCACCGCGGAGGAACAAATAGTGCCATCTAGTGGAAGAGTGTGCTGGTACAGTTAGCCTGCCGTGTAGAGGAGAGAGAGTTAAGTCACTAGACTAGAGGTAGAATCTGGTAAGTCTGGTATACAGGTCTGTGATCCCAGCTACTTGGAAGGTTGGAACAGGACAATCAAAAGTTCAGTCTGCTTAGGTTACAAAGTGAGTTGAAGACCAAGAACCTGCCTCAAAATTTTAACAGAAGGCTAAGGCAGACCTAGTATGTGCAAGGCTCTAATTGTATCTGGTTGGCCGCTTTGTTTTGGCTTTTTGAGACAGGATTTCTCTGTGTAGCTTTGGCGGTCCTAGAACTCACTCTGTAAACCAGACTGGCCTTAAACTCAGAGATCCACCTGCCTCTGTTTCCCAAGCGCTGGCATTAAAGGCATCTGCCACACATACACACATGAAACTATGTATTTTTTTAACTCTGTGTTTGTGTGTATGTGTCCCTATTGGTGCATGTGCATATCAGTGGTGTTGTGTTTTATAGAAAAGAAAAAGCTGAGGATATGTTTGATAGAGCGAGGTATGGTGAAGTGGGAGGGGTGCCTCTGTGGGCCCATGCTGAGACGTCCCTTCCCCTAAGGTACCAGCCACACGATGGGTATAGTATAGAACAAAGTTTATTTAGGCCATGGGAAGGGGAGTTAAGAAGGGAGGAGAGAGAAGAGAGAAGATAAAGGAGGAAGAGAGGGAAGGTCAGCCAAAAACATGTGGAAAGGAGGGAGGAGGAGAGGGAGAAGGATCAGGGAGAGAAGAGAGTAAGAGCTCTAGGAGGCCCAAGCAACCCCTTTTATATAGTAGGCCAGGCATTACCTGGCTATTGCCAGGTAACTGTGGGGCAGAGCCTAGAAGGAATGCTAACAAGTGGAGTTCCCCACAGACCCAGAAGAGGGTGTTGGATTCTCTATTGGAGTTTTTGGAGGTTGTGAGCCACTGGAAACTGAACTCAGGTCCCTTGAAAGTATTCTTAACTGCTGAGCCATCTCTCCGACCCCAAATCTAGCTTTTTTTTTTTTTTAAGTAGAAGATCCCAATATGTAAATTTGAGATCTACAGATAATAATATTCTATGTGGCTTCTCAATCCACTAAAATTCTTAGGATCATTGGCCATAGTGTTCATTCTCCAGAGCGTCATTGTTGGGACCCTGGTGAATGCCACCGTTCTGTCAGTGAGGAGGCTGAGAGACAGATGGCATGCCTTGAGTTTCTGTCCTGGCTAAGAAGAGAGTTTGGACAGGAGTCCTGACCTATTTGTGAAGTCACTGTCTTCCCCGGTGATCTTAGGGGATGTCTGAGATAATAATGACTAGCTTTTCATAGGAAAGATATAATAATACAGGTATGGCTGTTTCTTGAGAGAGAGACTCTTTATGTGACTCAGACTGGCTTTGAACTCCCAGACTGCACAATGCCTCCTGCCTCTGCCACCTGAGATCTGGTATTACAAGAACACGAATCATGCCTTGAGGCCTCTTGTTTTGACATAGTCCTGTGTAGTCCAAGCTGGCCTTGGAGTTTCCATGTAGCTAAGGATGGCCTTGAATGTCTGATCCTCTTGCCTCAGCCTGTTGAGTTCTGGGGTTATGGGTTTGCATCATTGGTTGCTGAACTCACTGCTGATGTTGTTAATCTGAGTGAAACTTGTCTCTCCTAAGGAGTCATTCTGAGAAACTTATATGACTTCCCACCTGCAGCAACAGCCTTCTCCAGCAGCCCCAAATAACACTGTCTTCATACTCTGAATATTTTATCATTTGTAGTTTTTTTGTTGTTGTTCTCTGCCTCTAGAGTGCTGGGATTAAAGGCATACCACACCAAGCCAGCCAGGTCTCATTTGGTATCTTACCCAATAGGTTACCTGGGTCTCTCTCCCTGGTGGATTCTAGGCAGGCACTCTACCACTGAGTTACATCACCAGCCCTTTTTTAGTTTTTCTTTATAAGTTTTCCAGACAGAGTTTCATTTGGTAGCCTTGGCTGGTCTGGAATTCACTATGTAATCCAGGCTAGCATCAAACGCAGGAGATGTGCCTGACTCTGACTCTCAACTGTTGAGACTAAATGAATACATCATTAGGCCCAACAGCTGTTGGGAGCCGACTCTTAGCCCAAAGCGGCTATCACTTTTACAGCCATCTCGAGCCATATACCCTGACAAGAGACTTGTTTTCAACAGCCCGAAACAGCTGAGCACACTCTGATAAACACCTTGTTTTGCTATTTAGTGCTGCCAGCAGCTAGACGCACGTGGTCTCCACGCTGCTAGGCACATGATGTAGTGCCTTCAGCTGTGCTTGTCCACGAGGGCAAAGCACGTGGTAAAGGGTATAAATACCCAGGATCTCCTTTCAATAAACAAGACTTGATCAGACCCTGTCTTCTCTCCATTTTTTCGAGTCTCCTGCCCCTCCATCCCCACTCTCTCTTGCTAGACCCTGACCTGCGTTACACAGTAGCAGAACGGGTCGTTACAAACAGCAACAACAAAATTGTGTGACTGTGTGCACATGTGTGTACAAGTATGTGTGTGTGTACTCAAGTCTGCCGAGTCCACAGGTTGATGTTAGGGCATCTTCTTCAATCTCCACTTTTTGACACAGAGTCTCTCATTGAATCTGCTCACTGTGACCAGGCTGAGCCGCAAGCTCCAGAGATCTGCCTGCCTCTGCCTCCCAAGTATGGGTACCATGGGCACTTGCCACCACATCCAGCTTTTTACACTGCTGCTGGGGATCCAAACTCGAGTCCTTGTGGCACTGAGACATTTTTCATTCTGGGACAGGACTCGCTCTGTAGCCCAGGCTGACCTTGAGGTTGTGATCATCCCGCCCAAGCCTCTTGAAGAGCTGAGGTTACAGTGCTTTGCCATCAGGCCCGGTTTGGTACATCTATGTTGATAAACTCATGGACGGGGATTGGGGACACAGCTCGGTCATTGGTAAAGCACTTGCTCTACAATCATGGGGACCTGAGT